TCACTGATGTATTCGAAATTTTCGTAAATTAACATTAAAAGCTATTTATTTATATATTAAATGGAATAATATTCGTTATAAAAATTTTATTTTGTTAATGTTTATGGTGTTTAAAAAAATAGACTTTATCACTTTTAAAATAAATAACTCGAATCAATACTGTTAACGAGATATAAAGTAACGTGCAATGCAGGTAGATATCGTAATGTTTTGCAGGTAATAATTTATTTCATTGTAAATGTGAGGTAATTAAAATGATTCCTATCGATTCGACGACAGCCGTCCCTCTATTATTTATGCCTTTCTTTCCTCCTTTAATATCAGCCTCTTTACGCACTCTAGGATACTATCCGTATCAGGAGGATCTCCTTCTGAGCCCATCAAATTTCGTGCTGCCGCAAGCAAAAAAAGAAGCACGTAGAATTTAATTCTTGCCCCTTGGCTTGAACGTAGTCGCTCTTAAAAATTGGATTTTTTTAATGAAACCTCATTCGCCTGGAGAGAAGCAGCTGAAGATTAAGTTTCCTGGTAGACAATATGAGATACTTGCCTTTAGTGGCTCTTAGAGAAGTGTATCGCAATAAAGCATCATACGCGAAAAATTATACTATACAAATCATGCTATTATAATATTTTGACACTCGTAAATTTAGAACACGAAATCAATAACGGTGTTTTTGAATATAAATAAATAAATTCTATTTCATCATAATATTTGATATATTCAAAATTTTACAAAGGTATTAATTTCATTGTTGCGATTATTAATTCTATAACATCGCGAATTTAGTCTATTTTGTTAACAAAGCTGTCATATTATATTATATGCCACAAGAAAGCCGCACTGCCACATACATATAATTCCTTTTAGTCAAAATAATTTTAGTATTAATTGGCACTATCGAATATACGTCAGTGTCATGTGTACAGATTAAAGTTGCCTTAAAGTTATAATTTTTAAACACCCAATTACAAAGCAAATTCGTAATTATAAATATGATATTTCAACATTTGTTATAAATATTTTAAATACTAAAGAGAAATGATAAATACACAATTATATGATGAATAGATATGGAATATTTTATATATGGATATGGATATATTTTCGTTAATAGATACAAAATTAACATTTTTAAATATTAATACTTATTATACATTAATACTTAATACACATCTTTGAATTCTTATTAATTAATCACACTATCGATGTGCTACATATATTTAAGAGAAATTTCATTTATTTATTTAAATTTCATAAGTTTTAATATTTGCATTCCTAATCAATCTCTGAAGAACTTCAATATTTCAAATATATAATTCAGTTTCACTAAAGCGATCATAAATTTATGTAAATTTTACATTAAATTATAACAGATTTTTTTTATTTATTTAATTGGTAATAATGTATGAAATGTAGCCAAGATTTTACGTTTTTATAATTATCGCCAAAATAGATCAATTTGCTGAATCATCAACGGTATTGGAGATGACCTTGAGTCTCCTACGCACACAAGCTTAAAATCACTACTGATCGGTCGAAACCATAAAATTTTCGTTTATAACGATTCCCTGCTTTCGCTTTTACGATGCGACAGTACCGGATTACCGAGACGCTCTTGGAAGCAGTAAAATCTGGTGATAATCGTAATTTACATCTGTTTCATAACTCGTAATTTATGGGACTTAAAATTTTCATAAGCCGTAAATAAGTATTGGTGGCGCAAATACTTGAAGACCGACTGTCGCTCTCGCGTGTATTTTGCTTATACAAACTTGCATGTACAAACTTGACAATGCAAAACGAACATGTGTCCGGTGAACATATGTTTTCGAAAACCTGGTCCTTCTCTTCTTCAATCACGATCATATTCATTGTAAAAATACCAATTACAGTGTTTTATATTTCGAGATATTTTTATTCAAATTCAAGAAATGAAAATAAATGTGTTCAATATTAAAACTTTAATATTTTAATGCATCATAATTAAATATGGATAATAAAACATTTGTTGTAATTTCTAAAATTATATTGCATATTCATACGTCGATGAAAACAACATTTAAATTTGCGCTTTTTATCTTGTCACTGTAAACAAGTAAATATTATTACAAAAATTATTTATCAATATTACCTCTGAAAATTTCATTTTATAATTGGTAACATAACATTTTATAGTTGCAAATAAAATCCTCATTTTGCTCATCTGCATTAATTTACAAGTATCCTCCATATAGCCTGCATAGATACGCAACATGTCGTGAGCACTCTATCAATTCATTACGTTACATCCCGGAACAAATGAATTTCGCAAGTCCCGAGAGAACTGTCATACTTGCCATCGATCATATTTGCGCACTAACCAACAGTGCCTAGTTTCGAATAAAAAACTTGAGGACAGTAACGACTCGCACACTAATTATACAGTTATAACTCTCGATTGATAACTATGAAATTTCAGAAACGACAGCATGTTCACGGTTTCGCATTTAAAGGGATACTTTTTGTACGCTTTCAACTTCCATTTTGAGCTGACCTTGCAACTGTCAGCCCTTTTTAGTTTTTTTTTCTACCACGACATGAGTTAGATACGGGTTGCTCAGCAGGTAAAAATTACGACTTCAGTTTTCGAAAGTTGGAGAGCCCCATTTATGCCTAGTTGCATCACGCAGCTCGGCGATTTTTATTGGATTTCTGAAGAAAGGTCAGTATGTTTTTGGCCCGTATTAGTGAAGGAAGTTTGAATGGAATGATTGTTATACACGACACATAACGAAGCCTTACTTTTCATAAGATGTCTCTAATGCGACATAATCCTGCGGAGATATTCTATAACGTACTTGAACATCAAATATAAGTTATTTATGTGATCAATCTTCTTTTATCGAAAATACTTTTTAAATTACAAATACAATTGGAAAAGTTATTTCGTGAATTAAGTTTCAAGAATATAAATAAGTAACAACAGTTTTGTTTTTTATTTAATTTTAATTTGATTATGTTTTAACAGAATTTTAGGCTTAATTATCAAACCTCAAATTTTTTATTAAATTTCTATTAAAAATATTAAGAATTTAAAGATTATTTTATATCCAATAAAGAGAAACAAAGAATTTTGTATATAATTTATTACTTTATATTTATTATTAAATAATATATTAGTTAAACACGCCGCATACCGCATTATCGATAAGCGCTTAAATGAGATTTAACTGTAGTAATTCTCGACATTATCCCTAAACGTAATCTGCTAAATCGTTAATTACATCTAACGAAGGTCGAGTAGAGGGAGACTGGACTTCGATTCGATTCATTTGAGTATACCGCAAGTGCAATGTCTATGCTGCTGCGGTTACATCGAGCTTAAGGATTATATTCGAAAATCATTCTATAGCATGCTGTAAAAGAGCATTATTACAAACTCTGACAAAATTTTCTGATAATTTTAAATCAATTATTTTCAATAATTTAATTAAATTAAAATTATAACTATACTACACATATGAAAAAGTAATTACGTTATAAATTATTTACAGTATTTTTTAAAAACTTTACAGAAAAACTGCTAGAGACAAAAATTGTTTATTTTCTTCTCATAGGACTCTAGAATTTTTTCAGAATTTTTTAATACCGTATTTTCTTATGTTGGAAAATAAGAAAATGCAGTACTAAACAGTTCATAAAAAATTCTGAAAAAATTCTTAGTATTCTATGAGAAGAAAATAAACAATTTTTGTTTCTAGCAGTTTTTTTTTTAATTGATAGTATTTGAATAAAAAATTATTAAAGACCAATTTTCGACAATTTTTAGTAATTAATATCTTGTTAATGCAAAAAATAGTAGAGGACTTTTCGACTCAGTTTAGTCTATTCTACTTGCCTATGAAATACAATATTTGGCGATTATTTTGGAACCCTGTATAACTAAAAGATATATTTAAGAGATATATAAAATTTATATAGGAATATTATTAGGCATCAATATCTAATCGTGTTTTTTTACATATTTAGCAAATTATAAGTTGCACAAAGATGAAGTATCATTTGTAAAAGATTGAAAAGAATTACAAGAATTATTCTCAAACATATCTAGTTTAAAGATAGACATAATAAAAAAGGAACCACAGTTATCACAGCAAAAATTAACAAAAACGGATACGTTTTGTTAATAAATAAATAAATGTTAAAAATAAATGTTATATCGGTCCGAGAAAACTTCGTCCCTCTTTTTTCCTCGCCGGATTTTCATTTGGTCCTCTCGTCAACGTTCCCTTCGGAAAGGAGCAGAAATACAGAACAACCCGTACCGGACGCAGGGCTGTGCATGTGGTCACTTTCCGGTTTCTCACCCCTAGCAGTAGACCCTAGTACGACTGGCGCCCATTAGAGCTCTCGTATATTTTTACTCGACCAATATATCGTCACACCGGCGCATGTATTGCATTAGCACGGGAGATGCGTGCCCTAGATAACGCCGGTCGAGCCGGTAACGATCTCCGATGCTAACAGGAGGTGTGAATTTTAGAGCCGAATGTTATATCGGTTACACAAACACCCTCTTGAACGTTACGTTTTGATTGAGGATGTAAGTGATATCACGATATCTTGTCGATCTCACCGGAAATTTTATCAAATGCACATTTAAAAAATAATTAAAACATTCATGATTCACATTAAGTTTAATTTTCATTCTTTTAAGGTGGTTCTTTAGTAAAGTGTCGAAAATTTGAGGTGCCTCAGGATTTACCCAAAATTACAAATATCTACATAATTTGGATAAAATATTAAAATTATGTGTATATCTTAATGAAATGTAGTGTGGAACGTACGATAAAAATCAAGAGCTGCATTTTTATCGAACGAATATGAGATTATGTTTATTTTTCGAGATTAAATTTATATTATACATATATACTATACATATATGTTTATATATATTGTAATGCAAGTAAAAATAAAGTTATATTGATCCATAAATAATTTATAATTTAAATTACTATTAATTTAAATTAAAACTTTGGATACATTGCTTTGCGTTTTGGACGATTTGGTTTAATTGTTGAGTTACTGTTTCCAAACACTGTGTCATATTGGAGATCATTTCGTTGTTCTCTATCATATTAATCATTTGTGTTACTTGGGAAACAATTTCTTTAGCCTGAAAAAAATGTTAAAATTATTTTAAAAAGTCTTTTGAACAATTATAATTTAACACGTTAAATATTGTGCTAATCATCTATGAACACTTGAACTTTCATTGCCGAACTAGTGATCGGCATTGAATGACGTTATTAAAAAATATATATATATAAAACTTGTATAAAATAATATTTACAACTCTTAATAAAAATATAATTATTATTAATAAAG